AATCACGTTTATAATAATCTTTCTTCTCTCTGTATATTTTACCTCTCTGCATCCAATTCTGTGCTCCTCTCCATCATTTTCCCTTTTTCACCTCCCTGATCCGTACTCCGGTTTACTATCACGACTTCCACCCCCCTCTCCCTGCCTGAGGCTAACATCTTAGACAATGGTTTTCTAGCACCGACACCATTCTGGTCGACTGGCTGTTGGAGGATTGTTGGACTCTTGTGATACCCTCTAGCGCCGTGTGCGTTTTGTTTCCCTTCCCGGCCGAACACCTACCGTTCGATCGATAATCGTCGTCCTGGTTGACCGACCATTCGTGGATCGCGTCCGTCCTCAACTACGCCCGATCACTATATATCTTACGACGCGCCAAATCTCGACGTGCAATCCAATTTTACTCTCTCTTTCGTTTCGTTCTCCATGCGTTCAGCCAGTTTCCCACTGGAACGACAGGGGACTCCAATTGCTCGAGGACGGTTGCGCAAAGTCACTTGGGTGTAAACGGACTGCAGGGTAACATTTTTCCAACAAGTCGGGTGATCAGGAAAGGGTGCGGAAATAAAAGAGAAGCGAAAAAGAGAGAGAGCAGGCGCAAGACGCACACGCACATACAAATATACCTAAAAAGAGTGAGGAGATTAAAAGGCACTGTGTTGCGGCACTTTGCATTTTGTGTGACCTTTCGTAGCGAGTCCCCTCGGCTACCGCTACTCAGATCGCGCGCATAGAAGGTAACAAGGGCTCTCTCTCTCTCTCTCTCTCTATTTCCTTTTTCGTCATTTCAAACCAGACAAGATGGGGTCGGAAAATCAACATGGGATGAAACAGAGCTCGGCTCACCAAGGAGGGACATATAGTCACGCCGTCGAACGGCGTTCCAGCAAAAAGTCATCCTCGAAAGACCGCCGTGGCATCGTTGTTAATCATGACAACTTCAGGGGCACGGGCATCCGTGCTGTAACGCCAGAATCTGACACTGACAAGCAATATCCCTTAGACGACTCCGAATACATCCCAGGTAGCGGCGCTCCTTCTCCTCACGCGACACACAGAGCCAGAACCGTTGATGGTGACAGAGAATATCATTTCCCTCACTCAATAGAGGATGGAGCTGAAGTGTTCAATGCCATGAACGGGCGCGTACGATCACGGACGACGACGACAAACGAGGAGCGGACGGAAGTGCTCCCGAATAATACCACTCTCCCTTGGCGTCGCTTTGGATCTTTCCACACCTCTGGCTTCCAAGTTAGGACCCCAGACGAGCAGCCCAGCACCATGAGTTCCCCTGCCACATATTCACCCAGTTCTTTCAGCGAACGGCCACGGCCGGGTAGGCCGCCTGGTGTGCTCACTGGCTTGAATTCCCTTAATGCATCATCGTTAACCTCTCCCATCTCGAATTCCGATTCTGCAAAAATCTTACAACTCATGAAGACTACCAGTGGACGCATGCATGGCGTCCTTTCCTTCCGAACTTCTAACCAGACCGCATGGACATCTGGGGTCTGCGCCGTCAACGTGGCAACAGGCAGCTTGGTCTACCTCATCTACAAGGCTAAGGGAGAACCCGCATTGACGAAAACCTTAATTCCCGATTTACGTGGCTGTCGGGTGCGGACCCTGTACGATCCGGACTTTCAGAACAATTATCTGACCGTGACCACCTTCACGTCGGGCCTGGGAGTTCAGTTGCGGCCTCATGTCAGTGAAACGTTTGACTCATGGCTTGCTGCATTGCTCTGTTGGCAGCCAATTCGGCCAAGAGGTGTGCGGAACAAGATGACAAAGCCCCAGCCAGTAGTAATTGGAGAGCGGCGTTTTCTTGACCGCCATCGGCGCAATTCCGAAGGTGCTGTGCAAAAGGATGCGGCTATTATTAAGGTTGGTAAGATGCTCCTCTGGGATAAGCCAACTGCTTCCGGAGCACGGCCTGCTTCGGGTCGCCAAATCTCGACATCGCGGCAGCAACGGGCTTTGAAGTCTTCTTGGCAGAGAGTCAGCTGTACGCTGCAGGAGAATGGTCATTTCAAACTGTTCACTGAGTCGGACGTCTCGCTCATAAACTCTGTTCAACTATCTCAATTGTCCCGCTGTGCCGTGCAACAACTCAATGCGTCGGTCCTCGAGGATCAATTCTGCATTGCCATCTATCCCCAATATGCAGCGCATGCGAATGTTGATCCATTTCAGATCCGTCCGATCTATCTCTCATTGGAGAGTCGGGTGCTCTTTGAAGTTTGGTTTGTTCTTCTGCGTGCTTTTACTGTCCCTGAGCTCTATGGCCCTGAATCATCCGTAGAGGATGATCCAAGGCCTGTCAACCTCCAACCAGCGCCAACACCACCGCCGCCAGCTACGACATCTATGACGGACATGTTTCGCATCGAGCGGAGCCTCACAGTCAAGGTCACAGAAGCCAAGCTGTTCCGCATGAGAGAAGACACCCCACACAAAGGCCGAAAACAATCGAAGTCACATGGACATTCGGCTACTGTCAGGTCCGCCGAGGGTGATTATTACACCGAAGTCACGCTGGATGGAGAAATTCGGGCCAAAACCGCCGTCAAGTACCGTACCGCCAATCCATTCTGGAGAGAAGAATTCATCTTCCACGACCTTCCCCCCGTGCTTTCCCAAGCCTCCCTTCTGGTTAAGACGCTTAATCCAGCTCAAAAAGATTGGACTCTCATTGCCCATGGTACATATTTGATGAGCCAGAGCCGCGATATCAACACGATACCATTGGATGATGTCGAGGTTTGCGCGCACGATCTTACACATGGAAGGGTGGAACTGCGGCTAGATGATCTGGAGCCGGGCGTGGAAACTGAGAAATGGTGGCCGATTCTGGACGACAAAGATCAGCCAGTGGGTGAGATGCTGATGCGAGCTCGGATGGAGGAGACTGTCGTGCTCATGTCTCAAGAGTATGAGCTGATGTCAGAACTTCTTCACTCGTTTACCAACGGCCTCACAGTCAATATGGCACAAATCATATCATCGGAATTGAACCAGCTGTCCGAAACGCTTCTCAACATCTTTCAGGTTTCAGGCCAGGCAGTGGAATGGATTTCGTCGCTCGTGGAGGATGAAATCGATGGTGTTCACAAAGAATCGACCGTCAATCGCCTGCGGTACACTACACGCATCCACTCAAATGATGCCAGAGAGTCCAACCAGGAAAGAGAATTCTTGGTCCGGGATCTTGGACGAACTGCTACGGTAGAGGCAAATCTACTCTTCCGCGGGAACTCAATCCTAACAAAGGCGCTCGATTCTCATATGCGGCGGCTTGGGAAGGATTACCTGGATGAAACGATCGGAGATCGGCTACGCAGCATCGACGATGAAAATCCTGAGTGCGAGGTCGACCCGTCTCGCGTCCACCGGTCGGATGATCTCGAGAGGAATTGGAACCACTTGATATTTCTCACAACGGGCGTTTGGAAAGCTATTGCCAACTCCGCCTCGCGATGTCCCCCTGAGCTCAGGCTCATATTTCGGCATATCAGAGCCTGTGCAGAGGATCGCTATGGTGATTTCCTTCGATCTGTCACGTACAGCAGTGTGTCTGGCTTCCTATTTCTACGGTTCTTTTGCCCGGCCATTCTAAATCCTAAGCTATTTGGCTTGCTCAAGGGTATGTATTTGTCTTTTCAACATGAGGTTCACTGCTAACAAAGGACCACAGATCACCCTCGTCAACGTGCTCAGCGTACATTGACTTTGATCGCCAAGGCCTTGCAAGGCCTAGCTAACATGACTACGTTCGGCAGCAAAGAACCATGGATGGAGCCGATGAACCGTTTTCTGATCAGCAATCGTTCTGAGTTTAAACAGTTCGTGGATTCTGTCTGCGCAATACCCGCTGACCGCCCGGCTCCAATTGTTACTCCATCCTACGCGACCCCAATCCAGATTCTCGGCCGATTACCTCCTACCTCGCGCGAAGGCTTCCCTAGTCTTCCATTCTTGCTCGACCATGCCCGGAGCTTCTCCAACCTCATTCGGATATGGCTTGAAGTTGCACCGCCCCGATTGGCTGAGTTAGAAGAAATTGATCCCGTGCTGCAAAACTTCCACGAGACAGCAGTACGTCTTGACCAACGGACCAAGGAATGCCTGGACAGGGCCGAGGATGCAGAACGGCCTAATGGCAATCTTGTGAACAAATGGGAAGAACTGGTAGAATCGATGGAACGAAGTGCGACCTTTTACGACGACGCCAACTCGAGCATGCCCGCTACCCCAGCGGCCGACACGGCCCTGGCTTCCTCTGCAACCGTCACGAATAACCACCGGAATTCGATCGGATATTTTTCGCGTCCTTATCTTCCTCGTCGGTCGACCGATCATGAGCAGCAGCAACAGCAAGTCGATGACGAAACCCCTCCCAGCTCCTCATCCGCAACCTGGGATACATCCCGAGTGCCCTTTACTATTCCTCGATGGTCTGATGCGCGGGACAGTGCTTCGAGTTCCAAAAACTCCTCTACTTTTTCCCTTGACTCCCCGGAGACCACGACCAGGAGTGGCCGTCGGTCCAGCATTTCTAGGGAATCATCGGGTAGATACCGGGGTCTCTTTGAGTTTCCGCGACGCAAAGCCAACAAAGAGCGGGATCATTCTCAACATCAACCTCGCGAGGAAATCCGAAATGAATCTTTATAAACTCTTTCTCTTGTGGGCGGATATCTTATTTATATAATTTTTTGTACAGGAGTTCGTTATTTTCACGGTCATGATCGATATACACGGTGCCATGACTTTTTCGTTTCTTCTTTTTTTCGTTTTTCTGTGAAAGCAAAGGGTGGCATGCGTTTTTTTTTTTTTTTTTTTTTTTTTCTTCTCTCATTTGGTACATATTTTCCGGCGGTCGACAGTTTTGTATAGCGAGAGAGTTTTTGTGGACCGTTATCTGTTGTATATCCTCCCTCGACTTCTTGCCTGTCTGTCTGCTACCTGTTGTCGTGAACAATGTGTTTTATGATTTGATGTCTTTTCGTTTGCCTCGTGTATATTTTTTTTTCTTTTTCTGTTGATCATTGCGGGAAAGCATTTTCCATGGTGTTGATACCCTGCCCTGAATGCTGTTCGCTGTTTGGGATTGGATAAGATAAAAAGATGTTCCAAGAATATAAATTTGGTCTCTCCTGGGAGCTGCTAGATTATACAAGTATTCTTCCTACAATTGACTTGGGACCTGTTCTGAGTCGTATCCAATATAACATAACAAAAAAGATGGTAGATAAACCCAAGTAAAGAAACAAAAGTATTATATCCACAAGCACACCTTCCCACTCGCCGTCCCCCCAACAACCCAGTTCTTGCTCGGGTGGAAAACAGAAACAGCCGGCACGGCGGTAATACCCTCGCCACTCAGCTGGGCGAGCTGGTCACCCGCGGAACTGTAGATGTCGATGAAGCGGTTCATGTTTCCGATACAGAAACGTTGGATGGAGGATTGTGGATTTTGCTGCCATTGGGGGCGGAGGCTGTCATATATTAGAAAGAGGAAAATAGGATCAAGTAGTATTAAGGGAACGTACATAGTAACCCAACGACCAGTTTGACAGTTATGACGAACGACGGTGTCGGGTTTCATTTGTTCGTCGGAGAGGGTCTTGTCATGACCTTCTGACCAGGTGTTGATGCCCTGCGTTGCGAGATCGTAGATCTTGAGGCTATCGTCGTACGACGAGGTAGCGACCTGACCGGCAGAGTTGAACGCTGCATGCGAAACGGATAACCGACTGGCATGTTCGCCGACGGGAACTGGTTCATCGCGCGAGAGATTCCTCAGGTCCCATAGCTTCATCGTCCGATCTAAACTTGCCGTGACGAAGTAATGCGGGTGCGTTGGGTAGAGCGAGAATCCTCCGATTTTCTTCTCAGACAGCTGCCATGACTCCACCACCTCTGTTGATGAAGGCGGGGGCGCGCGCATGTCATGGCGGCCAAAAGCACCGTCGAGGGAGGTCCAGTAGATAGTGTTAGGGTCGTCCGCGGCCATATCAATGCCGGAGAGGGGAAGGTCATCGGCTAAGGATGTCGGGGCGTATTTCTCAACGGAGGTGGTCTTTTCCAGGTCCATTTCGCGGATGGAGCTGTCATAGCTTGCGGTGTAGAGGTGTGTTGGTTTGGCAGGGTGGATGGTCATGGAGCTGATGGTGCGGGTGTGTGGTTTAAGAGTTGTCAGGATAGGATCTGGGTCGTCTTCTTCGGCGTCCTCGTCATCTTCGTTTTTGACGGAGACGGGCTTTTCTTGGGATGCGTCTAGGACGCCCAGGTGGCCCAGTTTGTCTCCCGCGAAGATCAATGGCTTTGTTTCTGAGGGGTGGAATGTCATTGTGTAGATTCGCTCGGGTGTCAACTTGATACCTACACATCATTAGCTTTGCATATAGGTACGCAAGGGCAAGAAAGCATACGATTCGGCTCCCAAGCCTCCCACAACTGCAACCCACTCATCTCCTCCCTCGCCGCCTTCAAATCCTTATCCGTCGTCATTTGAATATCTTCATCCCCAAACGTCCGCTCATACGGCTTCGCAACCCCCTTCGTCACAACATCCACCCCAATCAACCCTTCCCCACTAAGCTTCTGCCCCGAAACAACCATCTCATTAAACGAAAACGCATCCGACTTGCGCACCTTCTTCGCCCGCTCTGCCTCCATCATCGCATCCTGCTGCTCGTCCGCTTTGCGCTTCGCGACTTCGCTGTCTGCTGCGAGTCCGCGCAAGCGGGAAGATACACGGCGCGGGGCGAGAGATTCATCCTTCACGACTGGTTTTCTGGGCACGGGCTTCTTTTTCGGTCTGGAGGAGTCTGTAGGTGGTTTTTTGGTTGTCGGGCGTGGTGGTGGTGGGAGGGCGAGGCCAGAGGATTGGGCTTCTTGTTTTAGTTTTTTAAGGAGTTGGTCGCGCTCGGCGATGTTGGCTAGGCGTTGTTTTTCGAAGTCAGAGAGCTCTTCGGCGGGCATTTTGGAGGTGCGTTTCTTGTTGGAGCTTTTCCTGTGTTACTGTGAGTGACGATGTCAACTGAGTCGCATTTTGGCCGCGGAAACGCGTGCACGCCGTCGCGATGTCACGTGAGTTATTAAGCGTTGCTCTATTCTGTACAAAGACGGTAGTGGTAAATAATGGTAAGCAGTAGTGTGTTTAAAAATCTTATGATATATTTCGCTTTTAAACTTTCTTTTTATAATCTTCTATGTTGGGCCTCGGTGTTCAATGTAGATAGCAAAGCGGCGGCAATTCAACCCCAGAATTTTCCCACCTGCTCACACCCAACCGAATCCAACAACCACACCTACACAAAGCCTGTGGTCGCTAGACAACATGACCACCTCGCGCAAATGGCTGCTAGTGGCCCGCCATAGCTCAATCGCTCCATTCCTCTACCAAACACGCACCCTCGCAGCTCCGACTCTCCGCACGTCATACTCCACGGCAGCTGACGGCTCGGACGAGGATATCTCAAACCCCTCCAGCACCTCGCGCTCATCGACCACTACGAATGCCGAACCAGCACCAAGACCATCCTTCCTCCAGAAACATGCAGCCACGCGACTATCCTCGAGCCAAGACGCGTCAAAAAAGCGAAAAGTCGCAATGACCCGTAAAGAGAAAAAGGCCTTCGGTGAACTACTAGGCGAGCTCCAGAAATCAGACACATATCCCACGTTTGCAGCGTCTCAGGGGCTGAAGAAAAAAACCGAGAAAGGAAATGGTGGTGATGGTGGTAGTGATGACATGTCCCGACTCTCTGAGATCTTCGAGTCAGTTCTTGCGCAAGTGCGAGGGAAGGATAAGCGCGGTGGTGAACGGAGACAACTACGGCGTCAGCCGGGCCATATTAAAGAGGAAGTCGATGAGGAGGATGAGGTGTGGGCTGAGATGACGGTTAGTGAGGGTGGTGAGACGGTGGTTGATATCTCCGAAATACTGGGTGAAGAGGGGAAGCAGGTTCCCATGCAGCAGGCGATTAGAATCATTGTGAAGCGAGAGGCAGAGAAGATTGAGAATGTGCTGCAAGAGGCGGTTAGTGATGCCAAGGGGGATATTGGGATATGGGATGTTTGCAAGGCGCGCATTTTCTCGATGCTGGAGCATATTGGGCCGAAAACAGTTTCTGAGCAGAGGAAGCGTCAATACGAGCAGGAGCAGGGACAGCCGATTTTGGAGATTCCGGCGTCTGTTCCTGTTGAACCAGTTGTGGTTTCGCTCTATCCTAGGATACTTCTTGTCGCATTCCGTTTGCTTAACCAACACTATCCCAAGTCGCAGCTCATTGGGCAATTCCGTTCAACAATCAAGTCTCATGGCCGCGCGTCTGCGGTCCTGGGTACTTCGGTAGGATTGTACAACGAGTTGATCAGCTTCTACTGGCAGGGCATGAACGATTTGGGTGGAGTGATTTCGCTATTACAGGAGATGGAAGTGATTGGTGTGGATGCGAACGAACGGACGTGCTATATCCTAAAGAAGATTCTGTGCCAACGGGACCGGGATCTTAAAGATCATTGGTATCGACGTCGCCAAGTTGAAGAAGGAGAAAAGGTCCGAGTTCGTGAGCCGTGGTGGGATATGGCGCCGAATCGACGGGCAGTGAGAGAGTTACTTGGACCGGAAGGATGGGTGAGTCGGTTGGAAGCGCGTGTACACAAGAGGCGCTCTGTATAAATAAGTGAAAAGCTAGCATAAGCTTGTAATATACACATCTCCATCTCAACACAACTTGGACACAACTAAATTTTGAACCCCCAACTCCTTCCCAATCCAACAGCGGTCGTCCCCATAAAGCCAAGGCACTGCTTAGCGCCGCTCAACTTCTCGCCAATCGCAATGCTATCCTCGAAGCGCCGGTTGACAAATTCCTCCGTCTCGGCAAGGTTCGGGCTCTGGTCACGGGTCATGTAGACTTCTGCGCTGGCGTAGATGGCAGCCACGGACATTCGCTTGGTGTACCATGAGGCATCGACAGAAGTATCGCCGGCGAGGTTCAAGATATCAGATGAAAGAGCGTGAAGTTCGGAGAGGGAGAGCGGGATGTTCCCAGCGAGGGACATGAGAGCCAGTGCCTATACCCGTTAGCCTGATCAACTCATAAATTTTCAGATAATGATGAACGAAAACCTACACCCTGCCACTCCCCCTTAACCATCTCATTCATCCTCAACCTCTCCATAACTAAACATCTCACCTTCTCCTCCACAGACAATCCCTCCCTCTCCTTCAATTTCTCAGCAACATTCCTCAACAGTCCCCGTCTACTCGCCAACCAAAACAGTACGAGATCAAACTCCCCGCGCGGCAATAGTTGCACCGAGACATCGAGGAATCCCGAGTCGCGCGCGCCTAGAATCAGAGCGTCGCGGGAGAAGCCGTGGCGGGGAACGTGTGAGAGGGCGGCGGAGAGGATGGTGATTTGGGAATTGGAGTATTCGTCTTCTTGCGGGGGTTTGGAGGGGTGGTAGTCGGAGTGGTATGTTCTAGTCAAGGGTTGGAGGCGTTGTCGTTGTTGGCAGTGGTGTTGGTGTTGCGGTCTCGTAGGTGTAATGCGGGAGTAGGATGCGATGATTCTGGATGGGGAGGTGAGATTGAGACGGCGGCAGGAGGAGGCAATCACCCGACGAGAGAGGAAGAGGAGTGGTTGCGCCATTTTGTTGTTGTTGGAGCGTAAAGTGTAGAATGTCTAGAATATGGTAGTGGTGGTGGTGAGTCCGGAGGTAGAATTTGGCCGGAGCGGCGCCAAGACGATATCACAGCGTTAGAACAATTTTGCACTTATCTCGACTGATAGGACCAGATGGTCAAATGCATAGAATCATACTCTGTATTGGTGCAGTGAGTTCTACTTGTTAAAACTGCACCCAGTATATGCCTCAGGCATAAACCCAACTGATATGACCAATCAGATAAGCGCAATCAGTGACTGTTTTCTGTCTTTTTCCTGCGATTTTCCGGCTCTTTTCCTTTTCCTAGGCATGTTCCGTTAGCTACCCTACAGTTACCTTACAGCTCCCCCCAACCGTGCGTGATTTAGAGCGCATGTCCGTGGGTGTCTTGTCGCGTCGTGTTTTTTTCCCTGATTTCTTCTTTCCACTCACTCTTTCTCTTTCTCTTTTCTCATTATCAACGATTTGGGTAGAATAGAGTAGAGACAGCCAACCATCTTCCCACGACTACTCTACTCTTTGTCTACCTCGCGCAGTCTGCAGTCTCAACATGGGTGGGTGTTCTTTCCCTGTTAATAGCTCCTATTATATGCTGGCTTTGCTGCATCTGGTCACTATCACCACTATCACCACTGCTCGCCAATCAGTTCTTTTTGGCTACGCTTTCTCAGCTCGCCGTGTTCTCCTCTTTTTGCTTTTCTCCTTTTCCCCTCTTCTTGTCCTTCCTTTCCTCTCCTCTCTACCCTCGTCCTTCTGTTTAACCTTTACTTCAAAAGTAAACCGGCTTACACTCCAGATTCTGACAGCCGACGTCTATCGCCCTTATCAAGTAAGTGGGATTTTCCATCTCATAACATTCCTTTGCGTTGCTGTTTATATCCCACCCCCAATACTCGGTACATTCCGGACACGGTTCTCCGAGTCAGCAATCACATCACTTATACATACACGTACACATACTGTACTGTACTCTGTTGTTGATGACCGTGTTTTGTGAATTTTTGAGTTATATATTGTGGCCCTGTCCCCGGGGTCCTCTTCGCTTCTGTTGTTACCCTTGTTGTTACCCTCATATAACACACATAAACACACTCTCTTTCCGTCGCATCCAGCCGTGTCACCTGACCAAGACCCCCTCCGTCGGAACCGCACTTCCCAATTTCCCCATTTCCGGTTATACTACTACTCCGTACCTCCCCTCTCTCACTCTCTCATCTTACTACCTTTGTTTCACACACTTCCTTGAGTGTATCACTTTAATCTTCTTTTTTCGGCCAGTCCATGCGCGATTTGGTTACTGACTACCCCCCTCAGCGCGAGAGATCTCGTTCCCCTCGTCGTCGTTCCCGGAGTCCCCGACGGAGCCGTCGTTCATACTCGCCCCGCAGTCGTTCGCGCAGCCGTGACGACTACCGCACTGATCGCCGCTCCCGTTCGCCTTTGAGTCCTTCCGGTGCTGCTTCTGCCGGTGGTCGCGCTAGTTACGGTCCTCCTAGACCTTTCGAAGAACGAGTTGTCGCCAAAGAGCAAATGATGCAGACCGTTCGCGAATCATCCCAGCAAGACCGTCGGGTCTATGTGGGCAATCTGTCCTACGATGTCAAGTGGCATCATCTGAAAGATTTTATGAGACAGGGTGAGCAAGGGTCATTATCTTTATTATTATCGTCCATCATCTTTACCATACTACAATCACTACCATATCGCGACAACCGTTCCAAAACCGTTTCACGTTCCCTGTTGTTGGATTTGGAATTGCCTGGCTGACTTGGAGGGGGGGATTGTTTCCGCTTTTCGTCCCTATAGCTGGAGAGGTTCTCTTTGCCGATGTCTTACTACTTCCCAATGGAATGTCGAAGGTGGGCGCCAATATGTAGCGTGGCTGGTTTTCTTTTCTTTTTTCTTTTGTTATTGGTTTACCCTTTGATGGACTGTTGGGTTGACGGGATGGGTTCTGGCCTTCGGATACATGTAGGGATGCGGGTATGTATTCCTTCAATTCTACCAACACAAGCAGAAAACTAATACGGGAACAGGATTGTGGAATACGCAACAAGGGACCAAGCACAGAATGCTGTCAACTCGCTCAGCAACCAAAACCTTATGGGTCGTCTCGTCTACGTTCGCGAGGTACTTTCCTTCTTCCTAAACGGACAAGTAAAGTTACTGACTCAATGAAGGACCGTGAAGCTGAGCCCCGCTTCACTGGTGGCCCCCCTCGTGGTGAATTTCCCGCCCGGGGCGGTGGCTTTGGAGGTGGCTTCGGCGGCGGCGGTGGCTTCGGTGCCGGCGCTGCTGGCCGACAGCTCTACGTGAACAACGTTGGTTTCCTGTCCCATATGCCAGATTCTCCTAGTCCCGTGATGTTGACATTTTATAGCTCCCGTTCAATGTTGGCTGGCAAGACCTGAAGGATCTTTTCCGCCAAGCTGGTAAGCACTAGATCTTCCGAAATTTCGGGGTAATTCCTTGGGATTCTTAGGTTAACTCCGTGACAGCTCAGCAAGGCACCGTCATCCGTGCTGATGTCCACACCGACCCCACCGGCCGTCCCAAGGGCTCCGGAATCGTCGCCTTTGAATCGCCAGATGATGCGCGCAATGCGATTCAGCAGTTCAACGGCTACGACTGGCAGGGCCGGATGTTGGAGGTCCGTGAGGACAGATTTGCCGGTGGTCCCCCTGGCTTCGGCGGCCGCGGCGGTTTCGGCGGTGGCTTTGGTGGCCGTGGTGGCTTCGGTGGTCGTGGCGGTGGCTTCGGTGGCCGCGGGGGATTTGGCGGTGGCTTTGGTGGCCGTGGCGGCTACGGTGGTGGTCCTGGGCCTGGTCCTGGCTTTGGAGGACCGGCAGGACCCGGAGGACCCGGAGGCCCTGGCTTCGAGCCTGTATCCGCAGTGCCCCCGAACCCGTTCACGGACTTTGCGACGTCTGGTGGAGACCGGTCTGCCGTCATCTATGTGCGCAACGTAAGTTTACTTCCATTCTTTAACACGGACGCAACACTGACTTTTGTGGCTTTAGCTGCCTTGGTCCACGTGCAATGAAGATCTTGTGGATCTGTTCTCGACCATTGGAAAGGTCGACCGCGCCGAGATTCAATACGAGCCTAATGGCCGTTCTCGTGGCACTGGTGTTGTCCAGTTTGACAGTGCGGAGACTGCCGAAACTTCCATCGCCAAATTCACTGGCTACCAGTACGGTGGTCGTCCCCTGGGCATCACCTTTGTCAAGTACATGAACGCGGGCCCTGGTGACTCTGACGCCATGGACAGTGACTTCCAGCCTCCGTCTGGAATCACTCAGGATCAGATCATGTAATATTAGGAAATTATTACTGTATACTTTTCCTGGCGGCAATCCGTCGATCCTGAAAAGTTGACATGATATTACCCTGAGATTGTGGATTTTATGGAGGTATCCTTGGCTTGTCTTTTTATCTTTGCTTTCTAATATCCTCCTTGTTTCCTCCACTAGTTACCATGTTTTATGGGAAAAATGACAGGAATTGATGATTTCTGACCTTGCCCTGCTCGTTTGCTTGTATTCATCGGTCTGATAATTGATCTCCATCTCTGCTATCTCATCGAGAAATGAATTCTCTAGATGGGCGTTCCAGTAAATACAACCCTGGTAATATGCAAGGCTTTGCAGCAGGCTGTAGTGGAGTTCGTCTTTTAATGGATTCTACGTTGTGTCAAATCCTGGCATTCCTAAATGCTTTCTAATCTAATCGATTTCCCGATTGAGCATAGGGCAAGAGGAAAATGTACTCTGCTCTATGAAGATCTCCGCTCATCTCCATGTAAAGATGCTGCTACTCTGTTCAGAAAAGAAACAAAATGTCCGAGATTGATATCAATCTGTCCGATACCCACTACCTTATTAATTCAACACAAAAGTCCCAGATAAATACTAGATATAACTGCAAAGATGGATCTTGATATCAAAGCATAATCAATCTCAACTCACTTACCTCCCGACTTAAACCTCACCGATCAACTCTCATCATGGCGTCGGTGCTCCTCTACCCAACAACCCTAGGCCTCATTGCCTCCGCAACCGCATCTGGATGACCTCCCTAACTCGCAACCACTGCGTCGACGCCAACAAACCCACCTCCGCAACAGTCCGCTACTACGTAGATCGCGCACGATGGTGCCGGCTTAATCATCGCAGGGGGAACATCTGTGCATCTGAATGGCGCGGAGTGGCCGCATACACCGGTTATGTTTGATGGGAGTCATGTGGAGGCTTGGAGGAGGGGTTACGGATGGGGTGCATGGGGGGTGGGGAGGAGGATTTTGTTTCAGCCGTGAAATATATGTGCATTTTTTTTTTTTTTAATATTTCTGATATAGTATGAGGTGGAGGTTGGAAAGCTGATGGTTGGTTTGGTAAAGGCGTATTCAGAATGAGAATATGCCTATGCAAAAAAAAAAAAAAAAAAGTGGGTATCCGGTTCTGGCGCCGTCGAAGTATAGGCTGGGGGGATGTTTTGGACGTTTGAGGGGCTTCCTGTGCGTTCATTTTTCTACTTATTCCATTCTTTGTTTGGTGGGTGAGGAGCTGACTGGTTAGGGCTACACCGAGAACATCACCGAAATCGAAGACCCAGAGGTTATCGTTTGACAATATCGTCAATCGGTGGTTTTAGCTAAAGAGCTGAATTTGATGGTGTTGAACTGCTACCACAGGGGTATGCTTACTTTAATCGTTAATTGGCAACAATACTAACTGATTATTACAGAGGATACCTCCTCCACAACTTCCTCTGCTCGTAAGCAGCCCGCACGTTCACGCATAAGTCCTAATAATGAGAGACCAGCCACACCAACCCCCATACAGACGAACGCGGCAGCTCCGTGGAGAACCGCGCGCGCTTTGCTCTCGCCATCCTCGACGCCATATTCTCCGTTTTCGGTCCCCAGTCTGGAGGCGTAAAACTCTGCCCGTCAGACGACTACAACGACTCCGCTGTTTCCTTCCCAGAACTCACAGACATATATCTCCTATATGACCAGATCGTGGCCTGAGAGGTCGGATTTACTAATCTCCCCTGACGAGGATGTGATGTTAGTCGCGAGGGGACGGATGAATACTTTTAAGTCCAACCCTAGACCAGAGGGTTTGGAGTTAATGGCTGGTTATGAGCCCATACAGTAGTTTGTGGGAATAATTAAGTATTCTGGTAGTTAGAATATGTTGATTATGAATAATGAGTATAGTGTTGAGGTGGCAGAGAGTGTTGTGAGGGAGAGAACTGTGGATTTGGTGGCCTTTGGGAAGCCTTTTATTTATAAACCGGTATGTTTTATTTCTTTGACGAAGGGGGTGGATGATGTTGACGTGGTGCAGGATTTGGTTAGTTGTGTGAAAAATGGGATTCCCTTGGCTGGGAATGATCGAGGTGGAAGGGTGAATTATGGGCCGTATGAGACGGTGGCTGAGTTTTAATTGGCCTCGGACTGTTGTCTAGGGTCATTATGGAAGAGGTACAGTTGGTGAGGAGGTTAAGCTTGATAAGAGAGGCCACTGCATTGTACTTTGCAGAATAGATTTTATATCAAGAAGCAAAAGTTGGTTTACACGAAGATCTACGTGGAGAATATTTATATTCAATTGAAAAATTATTCCTCTAGTACTATCCCCAGCCCTAGTGAGTGAGACTATCCTACTGTACGAAAAATCGAATAACCAATACATCGACGTAAATCATGAATCTTATTCCATACCACCCCATCACAGGGGGATATATATATAGCCTATAGCAGTTTCCCAGATTCAATTCCTTTCAACTTTGCGCACACACATACATACTTCAAAACGCCAACACAAGACAAAACGACAACATCTTGGGTTTGGGTATCCCATATACGACAAAAACCAGAACCGTCCGTCCCAAGTAGTACACCAACAAAGAAAAAGAAAAGAGAAAA